TTTTTACAGATATATTACATATAGGATTTTTGTTGACATGATTTTTTCATCATGTCAAAAGGGAGAATTGAAATATAATTTTATCAGATAATATATTAACTTAATGAAATGTCTAGATACATGCATCCTGTTTTTGATATTTAGAATGATATTGTGTTAAAAACATGATCTGATTCCGTTTCCGGTAGAAAATGTAGTTTGAGCTACATGCCTACAACTCCCAACATTCACGCACCCACCATTATAGAACACAAGATGGTGAGATATTATTGGTTGAGAGCTGGGTCACACGGTAAGAGTAGGACCTCCCATTCGCTGATGGTGATGATGACTCCAGGAGGTGTGGCCGAGCTCTGAAGAAGAAGGGTTGTCTGTTTACGCTCGGCGCCATTGTTTGTGACCGCATGGTGGAGTTACAATGGCCCAGGGCTGTGATCTTGTACTTTACATGTAAAATAAACCTTCTGAAATGGAAGACAACTGCTCCTCCTCTCCCTGCTTCAGATCAGAACACATTCTTTCACAACCCTCAGTCCTACATTCTTGACTTTCCTCTTCTCCCTCTGTCTCCTGACACGTTTCCCTCCTCGTGGTCTTCAACTAACAGCAGCACAGTTTCTACCAGCACCCTGTTTGTCAACAGCACCTGTGGCAGTCATTTGTTTTTTTTGTTTATGACAGGTCTCTCTTGTAAATGAGTCCTCAAGGCTGAATGAGACTAACCTGTATAAATAAAAGTTGAACGAATGTTAACCCGGGCCTCAACCGGTCCGGTATGGTTTCTTTTTGATGAACTTGTATTACAGTTTTGGCAAGTTTTTCACGTTGGATGCCCTTCCTGACACAACCCTCACCATTTTCTTTGGCTTGGGACTGGCACAAGAGATACACTGGCTTGTGCTCCTTAGTGGCTGGTTTACACTAGGCCTAATACAAGGAGATAATGATAACCAAAAATGGTAGCAATTTAGGGCCAAACTGTTACGTTTACAAAATATTTTTAGAACAGCCTAATATGAATATGAACCTATTATTATAAATTATATAATATACCTTATTTTGTGTCTTCTTACACAGGTGACTCTGCATGCTGATGAATCCTGTCGCTATATAACATGGAGAAGAAAGAAGCTCTACCTGCTTTTTGCCAAACACCGGTACATAGCCCGGATCTTTGCCCTGGTAGTGCGTAACGACATTGCTGAAAAACTTTACTCTCTCAGTGAGAAGGCCTGTGATAGTTCAGGACACCGTTACGATCTACGGTTACCATGTCACATGCCAAGGACAAAATTAGACAAGACAGATGATCTCCTGCAAGTGTCTGTTCATGGGGAGGGGTCTTCCTAAACACACACAGACACACGCAGTTTGTCACCAAAACTGATGATGTGGATAAATTTGTTGGTATCCCTTCAGTCCAGTGAAACAATGTTTCATTTTTTTTCTTGAAAAGTGATTGGTTTAAATCAGTTGTCTAATATATCTTGATGCATGCTCAATAATCCAGGTAGATACATTTAATAAGGTTAAATCAGGTCCTTTGGACAGATTCTTCTTGTTGAAAAGTTTAAATGAAGAAGAGGCCATCCAGAGGACCTGACTTAACCTTGTTAGAACAGTCTTTTGTATTTCTGCCTTAGGTGCGTGAAAGAGTAAACAAATATTGTTAAAACTAGAGAAACTGCATTTCCTGCAAAAATGCAGTGTGAACACTGATTGCTGAAGAACTTCCTGAAAAATAACTTAAACTAGCTAAAACATGCTGAAATTGAAGAAAAAGCCTGTTTGCAAAATAAAACAGAAAGATCACATATTTGCTGATTTAGGTTTAAATAAGCAGAAATAAGCACAAAATTAGGAAATTAGCTAAAAAAAATAAAATAAAATTCCGACCCCCACCACCACCACCAGCTGAATAGTAGCTAAACAGCAGAAAGAAGCTTAAATTACCAGAAGGAAGAGGAGAGAACACAATTGTGCCCAATTACGCTGAAAGAAGCAGAAATGAGCACAAAAAAGTGGAAATTGCCTAAAAAACAGGACAATTTAGTAGTGATGTGCAGATTGATACTAAAATATCAAAACTATCGTTGCCAGGACTTTGTGCTTTAGAATCGATTTTTAAATCAAACTATCGATACTTTTGAGATTTCAGTCATTTCAGGTAATGCATATCATTAACATGAACATAGTGGAAAGTATCAAAGTTCATGCTCAATCAGGTACAAAATCCAATAATAATCAATCAGGTCAAATGAACAGTTTTTTTTGTGGAAAAGCGTTTCACCCTCTATCCGGAGGGCTTCATTAGTCCAAGAAGTCCGAAGTACACTGTCTTCCCCACTAAGCAGTTCACTCCTTTAGTGGACCAACCAGTTTGCTGGTGATAAGATGGTTTCTGGGGGCTGTCCTGTCCCAGCAAACTGGTTGGTCTACTAAAGGAGTGTACTTAGTGGGGAAAACAGTTTACTTGGGACTCCTCGGACTGTTGAAGCCCTCCGGATATAAGGCAAAAACGTCTTTGCACAAAAACAAGCTGTCCAGATGAGCTGACTGACAATTAATGGATAGTGGAAAGTAACTAAATTATTGAGATCTTTTCAAAATGATATGCGGTTGGTGGGAACTACTTTTTCTTTCACCTGTGCGTAATACGTGTAAACTGAGTGGCAGGTCATGAAGCTGTTTCTTGTGCAGTCAGAGTATCTGAAGCGAAAAATGTTGTAAATGTTTGTAAACCACGACCCCGGTCCATGAAAATATTGTCGGACATCAAACAGGTCCGTTGTTGTATAAGCTCATCTACATTGTAAATGAGGCCACTACCTCAACGTACTTCTGGGTTTAAAATAAAGAAATTACTTGTGTAATGTCTTGTATTTTTATGCAGCTTTGATTTGCAATATTGTACTCAGATTTTTTTTCTTATTCTTCTTTACTAGACACATTGGTGTACTTGCACAAAGTATTGGTATCGGTATCACCGATAATAGCTTGTATTTTACCTAGTATCAGTATCGGAACGTAAATCCTGGTATCAAACAACATTACGATTTAGAAACAAACCAGCTGAATAGTAGCTAAAAAGCCTAAAAAAACTTAAATTACCAGAAGGAAGTGGAGACAGCACGGTTGTGCCCAATCAGGCTTAAAGAAGCAGAAATGATCACAATAAAGTGGAAATTATCTGAAAAAAGCAGAATTTGCAAGAAAACAACATCTCAATAGTAGCTAAAAAAAAGTCAAAAGAAGATCTGGACATGGATGGTTTGGATGAGGTTATTATTTTTGACAATTCAGAGCTCAACAGGACAAAAACTGTCCAAACATAAATCAGGCTCTAGTGAAATTTTTAAAGTTGTCTCATTTGACAGGGGACTAGAGATAGTAGAAGGAAGGATGGTTTGAATTTTCTCTCTAATTGAAATAATTTTATTTATAAAGAATCTCATGAAGTCATCACTACTTATAGTTGTAGGGATACA